TCTCAGTAATGAGAAAAAGTAACTAACACAGTCCCTTAAACCTACCATGCTTCTCACCTTTAGTTGCTCACATGCTGAGCCCACTGCCGGCTCTTGACCCTTTTCTCCCATCTGCCATCTGTCTTCTCGGGAGGTGTGTTGAAACACCATTTCTTCCTGGAAATATCTGTCCCTCAAACACACAGGTTGGGTGCTCCCACTTGGCCCTGTGTTTGTCTGTTGAAACACAAGATTGCTGTTGCCTAGGTAACTGTTACTATGTTATAAGTGCCACAGGACAGAAACCACATCTGTCTCGCTCACCATGTGTATTAGTCAGCTGTCCATTCACTGGCATAAAATACCCAACACCCACAATTTAAAGGAGGAGAGGTTGGATTTGTCTCATGGTGTTAGACAGTTCAGTCCATGATAAGCTAACTCCAAGGCAGAAATCTCATGGGTGAAGAACACGACAGAGAAAAGCTGCATAACTCATGGTGGCTGGGAAGCAGAGCAGGGAAATGGCACCAGAGTGGAAGGGCCAGAGATCAAGGTCGTGCCTCCATGACCCACTGGACACACCAAAGTGTCCTTTGCTATTCCCCTGGGCTGCTCGCTAGCCAATAAACTTGACAGTGTAGCTTAACTGTCAAACCATGTTCTTTTTCACGTCTATCCTTTTTTTCCCCTCAATTGAATATGTCCTAGTCATTTTCATCTTGAGCAGTACAGTGGAGGCTTTGAGGTTTTTTTGTTTGTTTTTACAGTGGGGTGAACTGAAGGATATTAAACAAGAGGCTGCCTGAAGCTGATAGTGCCTTGTCTAGAGACTCCGTCACTTTAGTCCCTCAGCAGACCCAGGAAATGGGAGGAGCTGCAAGTCATATTATACCAGCATGTTCCCACGTGCCAGTTGGGAAACTCTAGATTAAATTAACAAACCAGATCCTGTTTTTAAGGTACTTTCCCCTTATTGAATCTCATCCATCAAGTGAAGATAATGCTATTCCAATAAAGTGGTTTTACCAGTAAGGTTATGTTAGAGACTGATGATTCCAATTTTTCATCTCTGTGATTGGCCAGTTTTGGTTTTGTTGCCATACCCAGCGTTGATAAAAGTTCTGGAAGTGGGTGCTTCCTCTTCTGGTGGTTGACATGTGAAGCAGTATGCAGTACCTACTGGTAGTGCAGGTCAGAAGTTCCTAAAGAAAATTCGTATCATCTGGCTTGGCAATTTCACACCTAGAAATTTGTCCTAAGTGGAAAAGTGAACAAAGGTTGATCCATACAGATGTCATGCCAACATTATTTCTGACTTTTTAAAAAGAAAAGATACTAAATATCAAAAAAGATACAGTGATTGAATTAATCATGGTGTGGCCACGGAATAGACCATTGTGTAGCTATTAACAATGATGATATTTTTAAAAATGTAACAGCATGAGAAATTATCAGGATACACTAAAGTAAACCGTGTAACAAAACCACAGTTTAGTGTGTTGTCAATTACTTTTTAAGTAGGAAGATGTAAACTAGTATATTTCTCTAAATAGCTAAAGTGGAATTTTTTGTGATATTTGTAATTGCAAATTTTGAGTTAAATGTATATTTCTTTTATAAAGGTTTTACAAAATGTGAAAGATCACAAGAAAATAACCCTCACACGGTTTGCAACTGGTGCACCTTTGCCCTTAACATGGGAATGTTCTCAAATCAGGCATTTCAGAGATCTCTCTCCTCTGAGTGTTGAGAAGGACTATGGCATCCTGAGGAAATACCTTCATTTTTGTTTACATGGTTTGTTCACCTACACAGTTTTCATTCATGTCCCTAAGCATATTGATTTAAATGCGAAGATTGAGCCTTATGATTTTCCATGATTCCTACACAGCCCAGAAACTAAACTTCCATATAAAATTGTCTATCTCAATAAATTAACTTCATGTGTGCTTTTCTAAAAGGGCTTTTTGTAACACTAATACCCTTGAATCCAACTGGCTTCCACAGACCCTGGAGAAGGAGGGAACAGCTTACTTTCTCTATTTTTTTTTTTTTTTTTAAGCACAAGAACCAATTCAGGAAAAATAAAATGTTTATGGGGCACATTTTTCTCGCATGCAAAATAAAGCTAGCTTTTTAGAGTTCCATAGGGGGAAGAAATCTGTTCTTAAAACCTTTGAACAACCTTATTGAAAGAGCAACAGGTATAATATTTGCACTGCTTTTTTAGCCGTCTGTATCTAAATTCTCCTTTCTGTACGTATCAGAGATAACAACACAGAAGCATCTTCCTTAGCTTTCATCTGGAAATTTATGTTGTGTGTTGAGAAGCCAGGCAGACCCAGGTAGCATGATGCCTAGCACTGCCACAGCAAAATCTGTATGAGGAATAGAGTTGAAGAGCAAATAGGAAGTTGCAGGATGGAAGAGACAGAAAAAATGTGTGACTCCCACCCTGTCTGACTATTTGGCTTTGAAGAATATTGAGGCTAGAGAGGTCTCACCCTGAGGTAACACAAGCAAATCAATTTATTTGATATAATAGGTCAGTAGATGATAGAGATAAAAGATAAAAAAACAGAGTAGGGAACAAATTAAGAGCAAAAATTGAAAGTTTATCTTTCAAAAACAAGACGCATCTTAAATGAGAGAAACGTGTGGAATAAGTATAAATCTCAGGGCATTTGTCACTGTTGTCACTCTTGGGTGGGAGGGAAGAAAGTCTGTCACGAGTGTTGAAAGCTAGAACCATAGGAAGACAGGAAACAAGTTGAAAGTCACTCTGAAGAACCATGACAAAAATCAACTCCAGCTAAGAGCCAGCCCTGTTAAGCCTTCCTCATAAAATGGGGTAATTAGTGTTACTGTAGGGCTTTCCCCTTCAGCAACAAAGACAGTAGACTCTGAAAAGGAATCATGTGGGTGGGGATGAAAAAAGCACAGGCAGAATAAAAGATTGAGGGTTTGAGAGTGAGTGCTGTAGAAGGAGTTGAGAAGAGGTGGCCCAGGACCAGTAAAGTGGAAATTCACCTTGAGTTAGAACATGTGCTCAGAAGTCTCTCATTTGTGGTGCATGGTTCCTCTGTCACGAGCACCTTGATAGCAACATATTTCCATCAAAACTCCCATCCTGATGGGTTCTGACTTCCAGGTAGGGTGGCCACAGGTTTGGGAGGAGAATCAGTGCCAGCCTGTATGAGTGGGAGCTGGAATTCTCCTTCATGTCCCTTCCTTCTCTTATATTCTACCACTTTGGCTTCATTTGGTGTTTTCAGTGCTGGGTTGTGCTTGTCCCCCAGCGCTTCCCCTGGGCGAGTTCTAACTTCTCATCATTCTGCACGTTCGTTTCTTCTGTGGGGCACAGCCTTAGCCCTGTGAAAAGAAGGGCATGATGTCATGGGTGCACATGGGGTACAGATCACTTCCCTTGGAGAACTGGCCGTTGCTGAAACCAGAGCACCCCAGAAGCTGCACACTGGGGACTTGAGATTCCTGTAGAGCCCTTGCAGAATTTGAACTGAGTGGGTCACTGAACAATGCAAGCTTACTTTATTCAGAGGTAGAAGTAAGCAGAAATAAGTAGGCTTGAAGTTTCTTAAGAAGGAATAAATAAATGTGCATTTAAGCATAAACTATAGTAGATCCAATTTATCTATACTTTTGAGTCTTCAATAAGATTTTAAACAGTCTGCTTTTAAAAATGGGCTCTGCTAAGCAATAGGTTTATAATCACCATTATCATTGTAGGCTTTATGTGATGGTTTTCTTTTATATATATAACATGCTGCCACCTCTTAAAAATCCCCTATCTGTAAATCCATTTATGGCTGCCTTGCCAGACAGTAGCCACCTAGTGTTCACACTTACTGTGCAACTGACACATTATGAACCTGATATTCACTACAAATATTGCAATGATGATAGTCACTGAGGCAATCCCTTGTTACTCACTTTTGTTAATTAGATGATGCTTTTATGTCCATCAATAGATGAACGTAGAGAAAATGTGGTATTTATACCCAGTAGAGTTGGTAGGCAAGTAAATTAGTACAATCACTATAGAAATCAGTATGGAGATATCTCAATAAACCAAAACTAGAAATTCCATTTGACCCAGCTATTCCCCTTCTAGGTATCTTCCCCAAAGAGTTAAAGATATCATATTATAGTCATACATACATACCGAGGTGTAGAACAGCATAGCTTAAAATAGCTAAATCTTGGAAGAATCCTATGTGTCCATCAGCAGATGGATAGATAAAGAAAAGATGGTGTTTATATCCAGTAGAGTAGTACTCTGTCATAAAGAAGCTAAACATGCTGGGGATTTAGCTCAACGGTGCCATGCCTGCCTCTCAAGCACAAAGTCCCAAGTTTGATCCAAGAAGCTAAACTTGAATCATTTGTAGGATTGCACTTTAAGACATAAGCTTAAATATTGCATGGTTTCTCTTATATGAGAAATTCAAAATATAAATAAAGAGCAAAATAGATAATAAAAGATAGATAATAGGGAGGGCTGGGATTTAACTTAGAGGTGTTGCCGCCTGCCTCACAAGCACATGGTCCCGAGTTTGATCCCTAGTACAAAAAAAAAAAAAAAAAAAAAAAAAAAAAGATAATAGGAAAACAGGAGATAGACCTTTTGCAAAAGGGACACTAAGGAAAGTGGGCAGTGAGAGAGGGTAAAGGTTAGGGTTGAAAGAAATTAAAATGTGTTATGTTCCAACTCCTCACAAAGAATGTATTCAATATACACTGCAAATTTATACTAATAAAAGAATAAAGTATAAATAAATGGGAAGAAGAGTTTCCAGAACTGATACTGTTTTCTCCAGATCTTGCAGTATTGTGGGCTAAGTGGGTTGTCACAGCTGTCCCTTGTTTAGCACTAACTGTATAACAGAGCACTGTGCAAAACAGGCATTGTCTTGGTCCTCACTTCATCCCTAGAGGGAGAAGATAATGTGAGATAGAGTTCAGTGGAAAATGGTTACTTGATGTTCTCTGTCTTCCAGCCCATTGCTGGCCGTGTCCTTTGCCACTTGCTGTGCAGTTCCGGGAGTCATTCTCCTGACCTGGGGAGTGAATCCACTCACAGGAGCCCTGGGACTCTTCAACATTTTCCTATACACTTGCTGTTACACACCACTGAAGAGGATGAGCATTGCCAACACTTGGGTCGGAGCTGTGGTCGGGGCCATCCCACCTGTCATGGGCTGGACAGCAGCCACTGGTGGCCTCGATGCAGGTGAGTGTCCCCCAGTGCCAAGTATCCGCTTCTCTCCACAGACCTGTATTGTCGGTGCCAGAACTTAGTGCTCGTGGCTGTCTCAGCAAACACAAGCACGTATTAGTCAGAGGTCTTCTGCTCCAAGCACTAGATTCCATTTTACTCAGTACTGAGTCCTTGGGCAGCGGTGTGAAATACTGGGAATAAAGAGCTAATGGGACACCGTGTCATTCTGGCTTGCTAGGCATAACATGTGCTCTGCTTTCCGGGGAAGACCCAGGTAAAAATAGGAGGCCGTGCTACCTCAGCCTGTGACTACAGGTAAAGTGAAATCACAAATCAAGTTAGGACTGGCTGATTCACTTTGGACACCCCAGCCCGTGGGGAAGTTCTGTGGACCTGGCCTCTGTCCCCTGTGAAAAGGGTGCGGCCTCATTGGCAAGCCTCCCTCCTTCCTGTAGAACAGGATTATTTCCCTCTCTTATGAAAGAGCAGATTATTTTCATTAGTTTCTAATTTATTTTCATATGATCTGCTTAAATTGTTCATGCTTTCTACAATAAAGCCATTGAAACATTTCTACATTTTTTTGGTGGTATGTCACAACTAAATTTGTGGGGTGAAAATAGCTCATTTTTACCATCTGTAAGGGAAGTTTTGCAGTCTAATTAGTCAAGTAATTAGTGTTTTTGACCAACACTTAGGAAGGAAGTGGTAAGGTTTCCTGCAATATATGTAAGTACATATTTTTCACATGAGAGATCAAAGGTAGTTGACCATAAACCGTTACCCTGTAAGCCACATTTCTGAAACTTTTCATAAAAGTTCATACACTCCGACTTGGCAGGCTTACAAATGGTGATTACACCTTTACCATGATCGTCTCTTCGAACAGTTTTAATATCCTGTAAATGGTGGATTTTAATGAACCTACAAATGCGATATTCTAAAACTTTTGTGCTCTTTTCTCTATAATAAACCTTAAAGTGGAATCTCATCCATATGGAAGGCAAGAATATCAAAGTGCTTATGAGCAGGGAAGGGGCAGCCCAGCTAGGCCACCTGGGGCCAGAACCTAACCCCCCCTTTACTTAGTGACCTTGGGAACTGACTTGGCCTTTTCCTGTAGGAGTCTGCTCATCTCCTTCCTGGCTGGGGCTGGGGCTGGTCTCTTTGTGGATCTGTTATAAGAGTTAGATGGCCATTTTCTTAGTCTTTCCTGTATTGGTGTAACAGAAGACTACAGATTAAGTAATTTATAAAGAAAAAAGATTTATAGTTCTGGAGGCTTGAAAATGTATGATAAAGACCCATCATCTAATAAGGGCTTCCACGCTATTATTCCATTTGGTGGGAGGGAGACAGAGAGAGAGAGAGAGAGAGAGAGAGAGAGCGCTTCAAGTTTGAGGCCATCCAGGGCTGTATAGTAAGTTCAAGGCCAGCCTAAACTGCATAGTGAGACCCTATGTGAAAAAACCAAAAAGGGAGAATGAGAGAGAACAGTTAAACTTGCAAGCCCTCAAACCCTTCTGCAGTCCTCATTAACCTGTTCCTGAAGTGGATACTCCCAGACCTGAACACCTTCCGTGAGGAACACTTGTTCCGTTGAGGACTAAGTTTCCAATGCATGGTTTTAGGGGGACACTTTCAGTCTACTGCAGTATGTGATGCATTCGATTGTTCTAAGTAAAGTACTGTGCCATGAGAAGCGTTCATCTCCTGATAGATCATGCTGTTGTTATGTTCCGTAATCCTTCACACAGTAAGTGAGTTAACCTAGATGAGGACAGGTCATGGAGTTTTATTTGATTTGTAAATTTCCCTTACGGATTAGAGTTCATCGTTGTTCCTTGGCTGTTGTGTTGAAGACAATGAAGTGCACACAGGCTTGGTGCATTAGTGAAGTCTGTTCGGTGTGGGGGGCTGGGGAAGACATGGGCTTGGCATCCTTGGACTAGATGTTATCTGAGTTCTAACTTGGTTTACCACCTACATTCAAAGAGCAGGGCCGTAGACTGCCGGTTCTCTCACTCTGCCCACATTCTTCCTCCTCCTCAGTTCTGCTGGAGCTCCAACCCTGACCTGAAACCTGTAACTTGACTATCTGCAACCCTCCAGACCCCTAGACATTCAGGGTGAGAAAATTCATGGAAGAAAGTGAGTGACTCCCTAGGCTCTTTGTCTTCTGGTGTCCTTCCTTCCTCAGGATGGAACTGTATTTTAACACTGGGCCCCTGCTGGAAAATACCCTGTGCCCTGACAGGAGTGCCTAAGCCCTGTTCAGTTTCTTCAATCCTGACATAAAAGAAGAAGGCACTAAAAAACTCCCTTTCTGTGTGGAGAATCCCAGATGGGACCAGGGTCACGGTCAGCCTCAAAGGACCAGATATAGGGAGATATCCTTAGGAGAAACAGATGAAGACTATCCAGTCCAGGTCCATGTAATGAGGGCCAATGATCACCACTAGTATTCAGGGTCCTAGTGCTCAGTTCCTCACTAAGACTTAGGAACCTTTCTTAACATACTCAGCAGTTTCCTCATGAAGAATTTGGGTCTCAGTCTATAGAGGCTAACATATCCTTCCCAGAGTTTATTTAGGAGCACATGAGCAGGCAGGAGCCCCTTTTTGTTGAGGGACAGTCTGTGTGGATAAACTGCTAATAGTCATAGTTTAAATGATTTTTTTTTTTTTTTTGAGAGAGGGTCTCACTATGTAGTTGATACTGACCTGGAACTCACTATGTAACCCAGGCTGGTCTTGAACTCACAGCGATCCTCCTGCCTCAGCCTTCCAAGTGCTGGGATTACAGGTGTGCACCACCACACCTGGCTTAAATGAATTTTTTAAAATGTTAAATATAATATTTCTGTTATCCAAATTTAATCACTTGTATATATCGATGATGGGCAGCTAAGAGCAAGGCCATACCCTGATTAGATAGCAGATTGAAAATAAATAGCTGTCGCAGAAAGTAAGACCAGTTATCTCCCTGAAGAGAACCTGGTATAAAACAATTTTCTAGAAGATTTGTGTAACAACAAAGAGCAGTTCCTTTGGCACTTTTTAACATTGAGTTTTCTTATATCCTTTTTCCACAAATCTTTAAGATGCATTGCAGAGCACTCAGTACCAATATGGTTCACTTGCCCAATATCACCAGTAAAATTAGATCAGATCATGTGCCTAAAGCCTTGTGGTGTTATTGCAAAAAGAATACTACCACTTTACATAGTGCATTAAACTGCTTCTCAAAAGTTTGAAGACATTATCTTCCATTTTTATAGATGATACAGTTGAAGAGAATGTATTTTAAGATTTTTATTGGTGGGTTTTAGAACTGAATTGAATATGGTTGAATATAGTCTATAGCTGCACTGCCCAGAATAGCAGCTACTAGCCACAGGAGGCGATTTAAATTTAAACAAATAAATGTGAGCATTCAGTTCCCACTAGGCATATTGCAAGTGTGCAGAGCCACATGTGGCTGGTGGCTCCCAAACGCACAGCACATAAGTAGGCCATCTCCATCACTGCAGAAAGCTGTGTTGGATGGTACCACCTAGAAGCAAATGCTGACATCCTTCTGGGTCTGTGTTCCCTCTGCCTTGTGCGAATCTGTGATTTAAATCATGGGGCATTGATGAAGACTATACCCATAGTCTCACTCGATCAAAACCACTGGTTGACAAACTATAGCGCACACCCACATGGCCTGGAATATTTTGGAAACACAGATTCCTGGACCCCACACTATGGATTCTGATACAATAAGTCTTGTGTGGGGTTCTGACCATTTTCATTTCTAACAGGTTCCCAAAGATGCTGATGCCCCTGATCCAGGGACCACACTTTAAAAATCACTAATCTGCAAAACAGAGCAAGTAAGAACATCAGCTTTTAGAATACCTTGGAAATGTCTAGAGCTTGGGCCAAAGGCGGCCGTGGACAGATGGTATTACTCAAACTGTACAAATTGTATCATTTGTATTAGCCATAGAGCTTACATTTCTCATCTCGGTTCTTAGGGACCATGTCTGTCTGGCTGAAAAGAGCCCTGGAGAGAAAAAAATAGCTAAAAATGTTTTCAATTTCTATAGTATCTGCAAACTATTTAACCTTTGAACCTCCAGGAAACAATCACTTTGAAGAAGCCCATGAATAGGAAAGTCTTTGGAAACCAATAGTGAACTATCCTGCTAGTAAGGAAGAGACAGTGTTGGAAGCTGAGGCAGGTACCAATACCAAGAAGCAAGAGTGGCTGGAGACCGCCCACTCCGCTGCACAGTCCAGCCTGGGAGCTGCAGGTTACCCCACGGAAGCTTCATTACGCAGGTCTCCGCTGAAGGCTTCCTGGGAGCTAGGTATTGAGGCATACAAACTGACCAGAACCCCTCCCTGTCCTCGTAGGAATCCCTAGGAAAGCTGAGCAGACAGTGAGATAACTGAGGCTCTAGCAGCTTTACCAGCTGTGCTCTCTTATCTTCCCAGATTGGCCCAGGAAGTCTTGAAGAAGAATGACTTCTGGATTAAGTCGTTACTAGTTTACCTGAGGAATGAATGTGCTTTTCAGACAGAGGGAAGAGTGTACAGATACTTACGGACCTGAGAGCCAGAGCAGTGAAAATGGGGCAGGGATGAGACCTAAGATGAGCTTCCTGCTGAGGGATCTGTACTGTATTCGAAGATGAGAAAGATCTGTTGGCACTTGAAGCAGGAAAGTAGCAGGTCTCACTTGCAGGGCTATTTAAGGATGTGCAGCAGGTTCTGCTGTGGTGCTAGAAATCGGTAAGGTTCAAAACCTTCTTTAATTCTCCTCCCAGGCCTTGTGCCTTCTCACACCTCCCACCCACACTCCTCCACACTTCCTCTCCCCTCCCTAGTGGTTTTTCCTCTCCCCTAAGCTTGCTTCCACCCCCACCTTCTGTGTCCTTTCTGCTCAGAATTTTGTCTTTTAAGTATTGAAGGGTCTGTCTGATCATCCTTTGAAAGAATGTGTTAACACCAGCAAATCTTCAA